TGGCGCCGAGCGAGGCAGGCCGGGCCCAGGTAAGCCGAGCCGAGCCGGGCCTCGCTCTTGCCCTGCGGGCACTTCTGCCCTTCGGGGTTTGGCACCCACCTCGCAGCGGTGCAGCCCAGCTGCCCTGGCAAGGGAAACACCATGGGCACCACGGTGGTTTTCCCACTGGCGGGGAAAAGCCACGAGCCTGGCAGGGGGGTCGGAGCTTGGCTGAGGTGATGCAGAGAGCTTCCCACCTGGCTGGGCTTTGCACTAGTATGATGTAGAGGTTGAGCTAGCTTCCTTCTCTGGCAGGAGAAACACCGCGTATCTGGGACCGTGAGGGCGGCTTTCCTTGCGCGTCTCTGGAGGTAGCTGTTCTGGTGCGGTGTAGTACCCGCCCAGGTGGTGGGGCTTAAAGCCCAGTTTATGGAAATAGCAGGCTCTTCCCTGGCTTGCTCCTGTGGCCGTATGGCTGAGGGCAGACGAAACTAGGGGGCATCTGAACCGCGAGCCTCCGGGCTTGGGCTTGGGCCTGCTCTTAGGATGCCAGCCAAAAGACTTTGGAACTATCTGAAGCCCCTGGTGGGGGGTGAGGGACGTTTGCCAGTTGTAGGGCCACTTACGGTTCTGGACTGACTCACGGATTTGGACTTGATTTGGCTTGGGACACGAAACATTTCTTTAAAACAAAACAAAAGGGTTCACCTGGCAGAGGAATTACCATGATCATCACCATGGTGGTTTTCCCAGGGACAGGGGATAACCACCTTTCTGGCATGGGGTAGTACCTGCGGAGGTAATGTATAGTTACCCTCCCATGTACATTGCCTGTAGGAAGATCTAGGTTTTACACCCACTTTGTGGCAATGGGAGACTTCTCCCTAGCTTGCTCCTATGGCCGTATGGCTGAGGGCAAGCGAAACTCAGGGGCATCTGAACCCCAAGCCTTTGTGCTTGGGTTTGCACATGCGGTGCCTGCCAAATGTTTGGAAACATCTGAAGCCCCAGGCGGAGGTGGAGGATGTTTGCTGGTAGTAGAGCCACATTTGGTTCTTGAATGACTCACGGATTTGGAATTGATTTGACTTGGAACAAAAACAATTTTACTTAAAAAAACAAAACAAAAAACCCCTTCACTTCCAGTGGGAAGATCTCAGCTACACTCAGACTTAATGGAAATGAGAGACTCCTCCCTATCTTGCTCCTGCAGCTGTATAGCTGAGGGCAAGCAAAACTCAGGGGAATCCGAACCCCAGGCCTCTGGCCTTGGGTCTGCACTTAGATTGCCCAGCAAAGGATTTAAAAGCAGCTGAAGCCCCAGGTAGGGGTGGAAGGTGTTTGCTAGTAGTAGGGCCACATCTGGTTCTTGAACGACTCACAGATTTGGAATTGATTTGGCTGATTTGACTTGGAACATAAAAACTTTTCATTAAAAATAAAAAAAAACCCAACATCTGACATTCCCTGCTCCCCAGAGCCTGAGACAGAGGGGTTCGGGGAGGCCGCCCCCACACAACACTGGTGCCCGGTGCCTGCCCTGCTAGCAGCCCCGCCAGGCCAAGACACTAGTGTGTGTGGCCCCTGGAGCAGCAGCCCTTAGTGTGGGGGAGCTGTTTGGCTTTGGTAGCAGCCACCACTTTATAAAGCCCAGTGTATTTTTATGATAGGTTCAGTCTCAGATTTCCCAGCCCCCCTGGCCTGGGTTGTTAAACAGGCCTGGTTTGACATCCTAGAAATTTGCTATCTGCCTCTCCCGAGTACAGACAGAAGTGAAGTGACAATTTTTCACCTGATCTGGCCATAGAAAACAGCTTATAGATCTGACCAAACACAAGTGTATGGCAGCAGACAGCTTAAAAAATGACCGATTGGGTGAAAATCTGACCCCTTATTGTATGAGGTGTCACATAAAGATGTTACAAAATGTAGTGGCTTCATAACTTGTGTCTGGGAGCCTTGTGCTTCCCTCTGTGGTGGCTGCTGAGTAGCTCTCTGAGTATTGTTACCCTTAGCATGGCTAAGGCCTGGTAAACTGGACTCTTCCCATAGATGGTGGTACAAAACCCTGTTAACTGCAGTGGAACAGGGTTTTGGCTCAAGTTCAAGGGACATATGAGGGGACTTATGAAGAGAGAGGGTGGAGGAACTGAACTTATTTAAACTGAAGAAGAGAGGACTTGAAGGGGGATTTAATTGCAGCCTTCAGCTACCTGAAGGGTGGCTACAAAGAGGATGGAGCTAGACTGTTCTCAGCGGTGGCAGATCACAGAACGAGGAGCAATGGTCTCAAGTTGCAGCAAGGGAAGTTTAGGTTAGATATTAGGAAAAAACTTTCTCACTAAGAGGGTAGTGAAGCGCTGGAACAGGTTACTCAGAGAGGTGGTTGAATCTCCATGTTTGGAGGTTTTTAAGACCCAGCTAGACAAAGCCTTGGCTGGAATAATCTAGTTGGGGATGGTCCTACTTTGAGCAGAGGGCTAGACTAGATGACTTCCTGAGGTCCTTTCCAACCCTCATTTTCTATGATTCTTTGAGATCTTGTACAGGGCTTGTTCCAAGATCAGGGGCTAAATATGCCCTGCAGAGAGATTGCTAAAGTGTGTTACAAGCATGGTTGTATCCTGGATTACAAATTTCACCAAATTGATCATTCAAGTCCATTAACTGCTTAAATGGGACGGATTCGTCTCTTCTTGGGCCCGTACTAATCCCAGATGTACAGTTTGCCCCTTCCTAAATTGTACATATCCTTGTCTTTTTCAGTTTCACAGATACAAATGCAGTGGTCACCAGTAACTTAAACAAGAGGCCACCAAATGATGATCTCAATATTGCCAAAATGGACTCCCTCAATAACCTCCCATCACCAGTCTTCCTTTCTTCCTCTCTACACAACCAGGTCTAGGCTCCTTAGCTTCTGGGACCTCCAAGGTGCTCCTTGATGCCAGTTATGACTTTAGTTTGGTGGGTTGGGGGCCTATGTTGGTAAAATGACAGAAATTGTTGGGAGGCAGGTATGGAACTGGAAATAGCTTGTTTTTATCAGCTGACTATGTTTCAGGTTGATGAAGGTTGAAGATATTCAGCTTAGGTTTTTCAGGTGCCCTTTTTAAATATAGGTGAGACCATGTCCTGGAGTATCAGTATTATGAAAAGTCCCTTTCATATTTGTGGCCAGTCTTTTCTTGTCCTTCAAAAATGTTATGCTCACTATGCTGTTTTGCCTTGTGTTTGTGTCCTGCAGAGAATGTAGAAGACTGCAACATGGAAAAAAGATCCCATTATGCTAAGAAGGACCTGATCCTGAGGGAAATGCCTCCTGCCCTGGTGGTGGTACTGCTTCTGGCTGTCCTGCTCCTGAACATCCTCCTTTATCTGTACCTCAGTAGTTTTTATGTGTCCTCCAGCCATCTGGATTTAGATCCCAATCTCTGCCCCTCTGGGTACTTCAGACTAGGGCCTCTAAAAAATTGTTCGCCATGGCTGTCTTGCGAAGCCATAGATAAAGAAGTCAGGAAGCTGAAATGTGTTGGTGAAGGAGCTGTAAAAAAGGTTAGTTTGTGTTTTTGTCAGAGGGATGGATGTCTGAGAGGATCAAAGCTTCGTGAGTGGTTAATGCTTAGGCAGCTCCTGTTGTAATAGTCTCTAGAAGCTCATTTTTACAACCACACAGAATATTTTGACTGTAGATGGCACTAGAGGTGCACCGATACATTGGTCCCATATCAGATTGGCACTGCTTTGAGGAAAATTGAGAGTATTGGCAATCAGCTTTTTTCTATCTGATGTGGCCGATAAATGCCATGTGCATGCGCACAGCCACAGCTTAGCATGCAGGTAGCTAAGAGCATAGCCAGGTTCGGCTAAAAAGTCTGTTGTGGGGGAAGGGACAAGGGGGGAGGGGAGGGGTTAGGCTGGAGGGGCAGATCGAGACTTCCACAGGGAGGGAGAGAGTGGGAGTGGGGCTGGGGAAGGTGTTGCCCAGCTGGGGCAGGGTAGGGCACAGGATGGACCTGCGGGTCGTCTGGGGGGCGCAGGGCAGGGGGCAGCTCCCTCCACTGCTTACACCTGGTGGTGGTGGGGGAGGGGCACTTGCCCCTGTATCTGCACGTAGGGCAGGGCAGGTTGCTGCTGCAAGCTGGAGCCAGGGCTGCACCGGGCTCTTCCTGGCAGGGAGCTGGGCTGCGCTTAGGTGGGCGGCAGCACTGAGAGGGAGGGTTGAGAGGTCTGCAGCCATCCTAAAATTCACTGTAGCCCTGCAAGGAAGAGCTCGGCACAGCCCCTAGCCCACAGCAGCAGCCCACCCTGCCTAATGCGCAGATGCGGGGGCACATGCCCCCGATGCTCTCCTGGGGTGTGTGCAAGTGGTGGTCTCCCCAGATGCGCTGCAGCTCTGTCTCTCGTGCCCCACCCTGGCTGTGCAGCGCCTGCTCCAGCCCCTGCCCCACTCCTTCCCTCACCTTGGGTGCCTCAATCTGCCCCCCATCTTGCCCCTTCCCTTACCCCACAACAGACTTACCAGCCGAACCCAGCTGGTCTTCACGCTGCAAGGCTGCATATCAAAATCAGATCAGTATTGGCCAATATGGCTCGTTAAAAATTGCCCATCAGTATCGGCCCCAAAAATCTCTGTCGGTGCATCCCTAGATAGCACCCTACATTTGTAGCCTGCAGTAGCCCCTAAGTGGCCTATAGGCAGGTAATAGGCCTGTGCGAAGTGCAAAGTATTCGCTTTGGATTCAGTGATTTGGAGGGGCAGTGATTCAATTCGGTGATTCAAATCACTGTCCCAATTCAATTCGGCCAAATCTGAATTCGAAGATATTCAGCCATAAACTATACAGGCAGGCAGTGCCGGTTGGAGCAGCTGGGGGAGCAGCTGAACAAGCCCCAGCTTGAGCTGGCAGCCCTGGGAGAAGCTTCAGCTCCCCCTACTGACCCCTTACTGAGTCAAGGTAGGCAGTGCTGGCAGCCTTGGGAGAAGCTGCGGGAGCTGGGGGATTGAATCGGGGGCTGGGGGAATGAACAGGGTCTTCCCCCCAGCTCCCAGTTGAATTCCCCAGCTCCCCAATCATTCCCCCCAGCTCCCCAATCATTTCCCCCAGCCCCTGTGGCTTCTCCTGG